GTTAATAACTCGAAAAGTAAGCATTTTAGGGTGCATGTTGCTTCATAAGTTGTATATAAACATGGCCATTCTGCACAATTTGCACTTATTCAAAAATCTCTAGGGCCTTCATAGCCCAATTTACCACATACCCATATTTTTGCATGATTTCTGGAACCGAAAATCAGTTTTTCGCCAATAACTGAAAAAGTAAGCACTTTAAGGCATATGTTTCTTCGTAAGTCATATATAAATATGCCAATTGCAGTTCTTTTGCACTCTATCCAAAGACTCTATCACAATCCTATCAAAAGTTAGTAAAATCGGCTCAGCGCCACGCCCAAAATGGTTTTTGGCGAATTTCTCGAAAAGTAAGGATTTTAGGCAATGTGTTGATCAATAACTCTTATATAAACATGCATATGCGGCTTCGTTTAAGCCTATTTTGAAGTCTCTACGACCTTCAGAAGCAAGGGGTCAGTTACGTTATTGGGTCAATATGGGCGTGGCCCTCCTGGGTTTTGCCCAAAGTAAAAAAAATGTCTCCAACCGAAAATCGTTTATTCATACCTTTGGGAAGGTCTGTGCAAAGTTTCGTGGGTATCTGAAAATTTGCAGGCACATGTCCATAAATGACTGGACTAACAAAGTTACAACGTGTTCTTCATGTTATGTATCCTGGGTTTGGACAGGATATGACCCGTTTAAAATATTTCCATCACGTTACATTACATAATTTTCAATAAATGTAATAGATTTGTAGTGTTGTAATTAGTTTAATTATCGCATTTTTAATATTATTCATTTGGGTGACAGTGTGAGTAGTCATTTAATTATCAGGGGAGATTGGTCTCCAGTATATCCAGCACTGGGAAAATTAATTTAACTCAGCCGTGCTCTTCCGCGGCTGTTTGCAGGAATTAACATTGTAGGTTTATAACCTACCAGGACGCGCGCCGAGTTGGACTCGTCGACGGTCCTGTTTGGAACAAATATTTTACGAGTATCACTCGTTAAGAATTAACAATGACCAAATTGACCGTGCAGTCACCTGCATTAAAAATGTTTTTCACTTATGTGGTTATAAATAACGATGGGACCGCGATTATACCTGTTAGATCACGATTTTAGTGCTTGACTGATCAAAGATCTCATGAAACATTCTCTAGTCTACTGAATACAGATATTCCTTCAGTTGATTTCACAAATTCCACAGAATATTACTATTCAGTCACAAATAAGATTTAAAAAAAGTTTTTTCCTCTTCACCAGTTCACCCGATCAATTTATCTCATTCCTCGGAACATATACGCAACGAAGGAGGTCTTGAATATAATATAGGTACTACAGGAAATAACACAAGATTCAATAATAAAGTTTTTCCATAACATTTAAAAAGGTTCTAACTTCCTACGTTTGAAAGAAATGAAGTTAAAATTTCAATGCAATCTAAGCAACTGAACTGTAAAACGTGAGTTAGTAATACTAAATACACACAGCAGCTACTGCAAGTGAAACTGTAAATAATGATCATTAATTCTAATTGTCATAAATTAATGATTATGCAATCAATAAATAACAAATATTCGCTTGGCTTACATTCCCCAGTGTTCAGAGTAACAACCGGACCACAACATCTTCATTTAACAATACAACAAACAGTGATTACCGGTTCTGTTTAATGGTAAATAGGAGCACGTGACATGACCAACACGTGACCAATAGGTGACCAACACGTGACCAACACGTGACCAATAGGTGACCAACACGTGACCAACACGTGACCAATAGGTACTCCTTGACTGTCACAAATACTGCTAATTAACACATTCAAGCAACCGCTAAACATGACTATCATGAAATATGGTCACATACTCTATTGATTACGTGACGCGTTACGTATCTAGCTGGGACAGTGACAGTGTTATGACACTTGACAGTGTTATGAGCAACACACTGCTTCAACAAATCTACACAAAGCTAACAAAACGGTGGCCCTACAACAGTGTGGTCATTGCAGATGGTGATTTGTGTAGCTTATCATTAGGGCGGGACACAAATTCCAATCCTCTCTGACTAGACTAAAGACAGTGCAGCATAACAATATCCATGGAACTCTGATTACAACTCAATTCATTCATTCATTCATTCATTTGATCTTGTCTACCGACGATATAACCAATTTGTCCCTTTACATTGTAGCGTATTACGAACTTATAGGTGTTATATTATTCCAGATATACACCATATGATGTATTATTTCTAATCATTTCTCGTCTATCATTACTCACATAACGCTCTCTTATTATTAGCTAAATTAGTATTTAAATCGGTCTAAAAATTACAAATACATCTTATTTAACACGATTAAACATGAATAAACATAATTTAGCATGATTTAACATAATTTAACATAATTTAACATAATTTAACATAATTTAACATAATTTAACATAATTTAACATAATTTAACATAATTTAACATAATTTAACATAATTTAACATAATTTAACATAATTTAACATAATTTAACATAATTAACACGTGTATTTCCCGCAGAAAGCGCTGAATTTTGACGTTATGTCCGCGATAGAGTACGATAACGGAGTATTCTGGATCAGCTGGGAGATCTGCCTACACTTCTTCGATGTGGTGTATCTCAACTGGAACCCCAAACTGTTCCTTTACAGGTTATTTACACTTTTACAGGTTATTTTCAGGTTTACATGTTCTACTTTCAGATTGTATGTATTTCTCGTAGAACAGGAATGATAGGAAGGTGGCTGATTTTTTAAACCTCAGATTTTTGTGTCTATAAACACTTTTAAGTCTATAAACACTTTTGTCAGAAAACGGCAGTATTATGTAACGAACATTTAAAATTAAATAACAACCTGTCACAGATACAATCTGCACGCAGACTGGGCTGCAGGTCCCTGAAACTGTTGCTCATTATATCACCTAATAATGTATAATGTACAATGTATAATGTGCAATGTATAATGTACAATATATAATGTGCAATGTATAATGTATAATGTACAATGTATAATGTACAAAGTATAATGCATAACCTCCCACAGATACAATCTTCACGCAGACTTGGCTGCAGGTCTCCGAAACTGTTGCTCATATCACCTAATTATGTATAATGTACAATGTATAATGTGCAATTTATAATGTACAATGTATAATGTATAATGTACAATGCATAATGTATAACCTCCCACTGATACAATCTTCACGCAGACTGGGCTGCAGGTCTCCGAAACTGTTGCTCATATCTCCTAATTATGTATAATGTACAATGTATAATGTACAATGTATAATGTACAATGTATAATGTACACTGTATAATTTACAATGTATAATGTATAACCTGCCACAGATACAATCTTCACGCAGACTGGGCTGCAGGTCTCCGAAACTGTTGCTCATATCACCTAATTATGTATAATGTACAATGTGTAATGTATAATGTACAATGTATAATGTACAATGTATAATGTATAACCTGCCACAGATACAATCTTCACGCAGACTGGGCTGTAGGTATCCGAAACTGTTGCTCATATCACCTAATTATGTATAATGTATAATGTGCAATGTATAATGTAGAATGTATAATGTACAATGTATAATGCATAACATCCCATAGATACAATCTTCACGCAGACTGGGCTGCAGGTCTCCGAAACTGTTGCTCATATCACCTAATAATGTATAATGTACAATGTATAATGTACAATGTATAATGTACAATGTATAATGTACAATGTATATTAATGTATAACCTGCCACAGATACAATCTTCACGCAGACTGGGCTGGAGGTCTCCGAAACTGTTGCTCATATCACCTAATAATGTATAATGTACAATGTATAATATACAATGTATAATGTACAATGTATAATGTACAATGTATAATGTATAATGTATAATGAACAATGTATAATGTACAATGTATAATGTACAATGTATAATGTACAGTATACAATGTATAATGTATAATGTACAATTTATAATGTATAATGTACAATGTATAATGTATAACCTCCCACAGATACAATCTGCACGCAGACTGGGCTGCAGGTCAGGGCCCCAAGAAGGACCACTACAATCTGGAGTACAACCCTCAGTACAAACTAGACGTGTTGGAGGCTAAGAAACCCTGCACTATGTGGATATTGCTGAGCAGGTGAGGTGATGACGTCACTTTAGGGGTGTGTGACGTCACGTGAGAGAGACTGAGAATGTGTGACGTCACGTGAGAGAGACTGAGAATGTGTGACGTCACGTGAGAGAGACTGAGAATGTGTGACGTCACGTGAGAGAGACTGAGAATGTGTGACGTCACGTGAGAGAGACTGAGAATGTGTGACGTCACGTGAGAGACTGATAATGTGTGACGTCACGTGAGAGACTGATAATGTGTGATGTCACGAGATAGGGACTGAGAATGTGTGACGTCACGTGAGAGAGACTGAGAATGTGTGACGTCACGTTAGGGGCGTGAGACGTCACGTGAGAGAGACTGAGAATGTGTGACGTCACGTGAGAGAGACTGAGAATGTGTGACGTCACGTGAGAGAGACTGAGAATGTGTGACGTCACGTGAGAGAGACTGAGAATGTGTGACGTCACGTGAGAGAGACTGAGAATGTGTGACGTCACGTGAGAGAGACTGCGAATGTGTGACGTCACGTGAGAGAGACTGGGAATGTGTGACGTCACGTGAGAGAGACTGAGAATGTGTGACGTCACGTGAGAGAGACTGCGAATGTGTGACGTCACGTGAGAGAGACTGAGAATGTGTGACGTCACGTGAGAGAGACTGAGAATGTGTGACGTCACGTGAGAGAGACTGCGAATGTGTGACGTCACGTGAGAGGGACTGAGAATGTGTGACGTCACGTGAGAGAGACTGAGAATGTGTGACGTCACGTGAGAGAGACTGAGAATGTGTGACGTCACGTGAGAGAGACTGAGAATGTGTGACGTCACGTGAGAGAGACTGAGAATGTGTGACGTCACGTGAGAGAGACTGAAAATGTGTGACGTCACGTGAGAGAGACTGAGAATGTGTGACGTCACGTGATTTAGCCGTATTTCTTCCACAAAAGTAGTTCTGTATTAATTAACGTTCCTCTTCCAGGCATATAACAGAGAAAGACGATTTCGCGAACAACAAAGAATTCATCACTCTACACGTTTATAAAACCAACGGAGACAGGGTCTACTATCCTGATGACGCTTTACTTAGTGGTTAGTATTTTATTGATTACATACCAATCTTTATAAAGAGGAAACTCTAAAATCATCAAATTCTTAAAAATTCACCCAACCCAAGTTTTTTCGGTAGAACTACTACTACCGCAATTACCCGCAATATCCCGACCCACGTTCAACAAGTTCTCTAAACCTCTAAACCTCTAAACCAACAAGTTCTCTAAACCTCTAAACCTCCTCAGGTACGAAGATAAACTCGCCCCACTATTTAGCCCGTATAAACGCAGGAGCCGGTTCAAGTACCTACACTCTGGTGGTATCCCAGTATGAGAAGACTAGTACTATTAGCTACAGGTTAGTGCTTATCTTACTGTTGGTTACTATTGGTTAATATTGGTTACCATCGGTTACTATTGGTTACTTAAAGTTAATATTGGTTACTTATCGTTAATATTGGTTACTTGTCGTTACTATTGATTACTTAAATTTGCTATCGGTTACTTATCGTTACTATTGGTTACCCAAAGTTACTTTACCGGTTACTATGTTAGTTCCCATCGGCCAGAAAACTTTAAAAGACTTTCGCTGTTTCATGTATGCTATGCACATTTTTCAAGTTTTTAAGAAAAGTGATGAAAGAAATGAAACAAATCTCTTTTTAAAGAATTGTAAAAGAATTAAATAATGATACGTCATAACTAATTCATGCATAAAATTGATGATAGAATACCAGCAGGGACAAAAGAAAATCGCGATTATTTTGGCCCAAAAAATACCGCGACAAGCCAAACAGGCGACATCAGATGATATATAAAATTTGTCGCAAAAAATGGGGAAAATCGCGATTTCGTACATGCCGCACATGCCGCGACTTCCTTTTGTCCCTGAATACCAGTGCATCATATGTTACATGATAATGATGTTATGTACAAAATAACAAACAAACACGCCTCAACTTCAAGGATCCACCAATACAACAATCAAATACAGCATAATATAACAAAAGAAATGTTTGATTATTAGCGCTGAAAATAAAATTGGCCCAACATCAAGTATCCACTGAAAAAGGTCTTGCTCAAAGTGAACACATCACCACACTCACAAGGAGTGGTAGTGACACATCACCACACTCACTAGGAGTGGTAGTGACACATCACCACACTCACTAGGAGTGGTAGTGACACATCACCACACTCACTAGGAGTGGTAGTGACACATCACCACACTCACTAGGGGTGGTAGTGACACATCACCACACTCACTAGGAGTGGTAGTGACACATCACCACACTCACTAGGAGTGGTAGTGACACATCACCACACTCACTAGGAGTGGTAGTGACACATCACCACACTCACTAGGAGTGGTAGTGACACATCACCACACTCACCAGGAGTGGTAGTGACACATCACCACACTCACTAGGAGTGGTAGTGACACATCACCACACTCACCAGGAGTGGTAGTGACACATCACCACACTCACCAGGAGTGGTAGTGACACATCACCACACTCACTAGGAGTGGTAGTGACACATCACCACACTCACTAGGAGTGGTAGTGACACATCACCACACTCACCAGGAGTGGTAGTGACACATCACCACACTCACCAGGAGTGGTAGTGACACATCACCACACTCACTAGGAGTGGTAGTGACACATCACCACACTCACTAGAAGTGGTAGTGACACATCACCACACTCACTAGGAGTGGTAGTGACACATCACCACACTCACCAGGAGTGGTAGTGACACATCACCACACTCACTATGAGTGGTAGTGACACATCACCACACTCACCAGGAGTGGTAGTGACACATCACCACACTCACTAGGAGTGGTAGTGACACATCACCACACTCACTAGGAGTGGTAGTGACACATCACCACACTCACTAGGAGTGGTAGTGACACATCACCACACTCACCAGGAGTGGTAGTGACACATCACCACACTCACCAGGAGTGGTAGTGACACATCACCACACTCACCAGGAGTGGTAGTGACACATCACCACACTCACTAGGAGTGGTAGTGACACATCACCACACTCACTAGGAGTGGTAGTGACACATCACCACACTCACTAGGAGTGGTAGTGACACATCACCACACTCACTAGGAGTGGTAGTGACACATCACCACACTCACCAGGAGTGGTAGTGACACATCACCACACTCACTAGGAGTGGTAGTGACACATCACCACACTCACTAGGAGTGGTAGTGACACATCACCACACTCACCAGGAGTGGTAGTGACACATCACCACACTCACTAGGAGTGGTAGTGACACTACCACTCCCACACCCCCACCATCAGCTGCATTCCAGTCCTGCAGCGCGCTGTAGAATGCAGTAGTTTGCTCCTCTGTCAGGTTCATGTCTCCCAATCCGTCCAAGTTATCACTGGAGAGAGCCTGATTGATGGCATCTATCTGGTCCTGTGTAAAGGAACCTGCTTTCTTGAGAAGTTCGTCAAAGCGCTCTTTTTGTTCCCCAGCGAAGTCGTCGAAGTCGAAGGAATCTTCGAAGTCGTTGAAGGCGTCTTCCATATCACCTCCAAGGTCACCGAACGTATCACCTATATCTCCGCCAAGGTCACTGAACGTATCACCTATATCGCCGCCAAGGTCACTGAACTGATCACCTATATCTCCGCCAAGGTCACTGAACTGATCACCGATGTCATCAAAAGCACCACCAATATCTCCCCCCATTTTATCCATGACATCATCAACATCACTTCCAAAGTCTCCGAAACTGCTGCTCATATCACCAAAGTCACCCATGTCGAAGTCACCTTGTCCCTGTGCCAGCTGTACGGTACCCGCGAGCAGTACAAGGATTAACATTGTTGACATGGTGTTTGCCTGAGTGTTTTATGTTGTATAGAGTGCTGTATAATGTATTATGTATAATGTGTAATCTACAATGTACACTGTACAATGTACAGAGATTGGAGATCATGAGGAGGAGATATTATTGTCGGAAATGGAGTTCATTTTATTTCTACCTACAGCGATCTACTCATCTACCCTAAGTGACAAAAAACTTGCATTTATTTGACCGGACAATTCATTCAACATATAGACAAAAACAGGTTAAACCTGTTACAGGCTGGTTTTAGACCTTAATGCTAACTCAGGTTGGAACGTTAAGTAACTAGAGGATAACCAAATGTTGCACATAAACACAACGACTCTTCAACAACTGACCAACAACACTAGTATTGTCAGTGAGCGCAGCATGTCGGTGATCTCAAACTTAGGGGAACATTATCAATAGAAAGTATCAGGTCATGAGTCATGACGCAATTGATCACGTGATTAATTGTGTTGTGACGTAAAGTGGTGATTCTGTTCCTCCTTTACCTTTATAAAAGATTCTGAGTTCTGGTTCAGTTATTGATTACCACAGTACCAGACATTATATCATCGTATCATATTACTTGGTGGTAGAAGTCACAGTCACATGATGTCAGATTTGTAGTACAAGTGCAGCTTTGTTGTGAATGTATCTTACCCTTTCTAAAGGCTGGGTGTACAATTATATTGCAAAATTATGTGAGATTCCTCTAACAGCCGGCTGTTAGAGGAATATTACCGTAATATAGCCGGTTGGCATTGTGCCAATTTGCCTTGCCATATGCCAGGCCATTGTGAATGCAAAGAACATAATCAATAAAACAAATGCAGCCAGTCTACAGTCCACACCCTGGCTCACCCTGGCTCACCCTGGCTCACCCTGGCTCACCCTGGCTCCAATATAATTCTAAATGAAAAGCTCGAATAAGCAATAATTGTACAATATTTGTACAGCAGGCGAAGCGTCTGTGAATTATCTGAATTAGTTTCTGGACAAAACAGTGTGAATAGTATTAGTTGGTGTGAATCATTGTCCAGACTTGTCCTGTACATGGGAAATAATGGTATGGTATGTAAATTGGAAGGGTAGAGTTGTATTGAAAAGTGGGAATCGTCCTGTAACAATACAAGGACAAAAGAAAATCGCGAGAATTGGCCAAACATTGCGGCGCTGCGGCAAGCCAAACTTGGCGAAATTCGCTGCATATTCGCGGCATTGATTTCACCTACCGCACGATTTCATCATCCATTGTATGTGAATGTGTAGTGGTCAAGTTTATGTCTAATGGTAATGTTTATGTTAATATTATTGTATTTTGCGACTTAAATTTAAAGTATTATACACAGACTTCTACAGGCTAGAAAACTTGGAACAGTAAACAAAATATTGATAGACTCGCTGTTTTGACACGGTACTCCGTGCAAACCAGTTCATGCTTCTCCATCAAAGATTTGGTTCATAATCCAGCATCATCATGATATAACAAACATAACGCTTAATTTTGAATGGTTTTAATCACTTTCCTAAAATAAAATGTAGACTAGGTAACCCTACTATAATATAATAACTGAACGTTAAGACGTTAACAAGCCTATCCCCTGACTGGTACCTGTATAATTGAATACTATGGTTTAAATTACTGTCTCATGTTCTCTTTACATAATTCAATCTGAAGATCTACAAACACAGTACACACCCACCTACATTAAGTCTTAATGCCTGAAAAATAAATAAACGAAATGACTGTATATTTAAAGATTTTAAATCTACGGACACTTGAATGTAAGCTACAATTGACTGCCAGAGCGTCTATACATAGATCTATAGATCCGGCGAAAATGGTCATATTCTCAGATTCAAAACATTCTCAAAAATACTCATGATCCCCCTCATGAAAATTCCGAAATTAAGTAGAAAAACGATATACAGTAAAGTGCAACAAAACAGTGCCATTTTAAACTGCTGCGTGAATAGACAGTACTCTGTACTACTGACTATTCACGAAACTGACAGTAGAGTAGAGCAATGTATTCGGGATAATGACTAGAAATTACCCTGCTAAAATATCAAGCCTGCCCTTACAAGCTGTCACTTGAAGTCACGTGACCATTATTAGGATGTCTAGAGAGAGGTGTGGTTACAATTTGTATTCCAATATCGATGTACTGATATTAGCTTGTCCATATAAGGATTAATTTAACATTAATTTAACACAACAAATATGGGCATGCTGGACACTTTGATCAGTTTCCCTGCCCCTTGATGCGTTGTCACTTGGGTTTTAAAGTTTCCTCCGGTCTGTAGATAGTAGAAAAAGAGAGGGCAAAAAGAAAGAAAAGATTAAGAAAAGATACAGAGAAAGAACAGAGAAATAAAAGAGAAAAAAAGAATAAGAAAATAGAATGCGAAGGAGATATTAGAACAATATCAACGCGACAGCAAAGAAGCCATTTTCGGCTCATGTGCAATGTATCTACTAACCACTAACTTTAGGTATTCAGTTACAAAGTGATAATAACATAAACCCGCCACGCAAAGGGTTTATATAACAGATCATCCCGCGCTAGCGGGATGATCTGATAAACACATACGAGTGCGCGCAGCGCACGAGTTTTGTGTTAATATGTAATCCCGAAGCGCCAGCTGAGGGATTACATTTATTTAGCCCTGAGCGTGAAGTGTTTATGGATTATAATTATCTCCGGCGATTTCGACAAGGGATTTATACTTTAGAAGAGAGTGATAAAATAGTTTTTATTTCGGAATACGGGTCTGATTTTAGTAATATTTTCATTTCTATTTAAGCAATAGCTTGAACGTTAGCAGGAACAAGAGCTGGAAGGAGAGCAAGCAAAACAATACTATTTTTAGGGCACGGACAAGGGTAGCTGGCTAGTCGCCAACTTCTCACGCCACGCGTTGGAGAAATTCCAAGAATTAGCTGCTTTGGCAACGTTCCCAGGAATTTGCGTGTAAAAGAAGTGGACGGTTACGATGTTTCATATCACGTGGTGCGCTTTCGTGTCACGTGGTATAGACTCGGCGTATGCTATTGGTGGCACGTGGTACGCACGTGACGCGCCCACGTGATCGCGCGTCTAACTGTTCTACTATTATCGAGTTCTAATCAGCAGTATCATTGATTATTGTAAGTCGGAGAATTGAATGATAAACATCAGTTACGACTAAAAAGCGGGCCGGGTTTATACAAATTTCCGGGGCGGGATGATATCACCTTGAGATGTTTATCTAACAGCGGGCCGGGCTGAGTGATAATATGATCCCGCGTCGAAATCCCGGAGATATTTATAATATCTTATAACCTAGTTCATTATTTTAACATTGTTTTCAATTGCAGCACACTTCTTTAAATTTAATTGCATTCGACTCGATGTAGAGTAAAATTTAATTTTAAAATTTATGAGTTGTTCCCTCATTAATTAATTTACTACTGTTTTTTAGGTCAAAAATACAGAAAAGTAAACGTGGGCCAGTGAGCCACAGCTCCGAGAAACTTTAAGTCACAATTTCGTATTACTCTAACTCAGTTGATGAAGTAAAATATAATTTGACAAAGTAAAATATATTCGAAGAAATAGTGTTATACTGTTATACATAATTTGTTGTATTAAACGAATTTGTTGCCTTAATGTTGCCTTAATGATGCCTTAATGTTGTCTTAATGTTGTCTTATCGTTTGTTGTCTTATTGGTGTTTGTTGCGTTAATGTTGTCTTAATGTTGTCTTATTGGTGTCTTAATGTTGTCTTATTTTTGTGTTAATGTGTCTTATTGGTGTCTTAATGTTGTCTTATTGTTGTCTTAATGTGTCTTAATGTTGTCTTAATGTCCCATCGGTGTTCGTTCTAGTTGCCTTTCCGTATATTGTGAACATTAAGTATATGATATATGTGAACATTAAGTCTAGAATAATTGAAATACTGTCCAATGGTTTCCAGGAAGTCAGAGACTCGAAAACAACTGGTGATAACTGATAAACCGGGCTTTCATAATTGTCCACTTCTAAGATTATAGACTAATTATATATGATTATTATTGGCTTAATTTAATGCATATTTCAGTATACGAGTGTTTTCTTAATGAGTATGCATATTTCAGTATTCGAGTGTTTTGTACAGAGAACTTCAAGATAGGTAACATCCCCCACCACTATCCATACGAGTTCAAGTTAACAGGAGAGTGGACTGCTCAACTTGCTGGAGGCTGCCCTAACTACAGGTACAATTTAGTTATTCAATTAAGTTAAGTATTAACTAATTAGTTATTTAATTAAGATTTTAGTTGATATCAATATTTTGATGGCCTGTAATAGTTTGAAATATTCTTTGACTTTAAATGATGAATATGATTATTTTTGTGTAATCCTGAGAATGTTTACGGTTTGTTTCCTTATCCTTAACACAACAATTATGAAGTGCAATTATACTCGTATAGTCACGCTATATAGTGACAAATATCAGCTGTCATTATAAAGTGCTTGTCATAACTCATTGTATAGTGTTGTCACTTGTCACTATACAGTGCGATTACCCCTATCCTTAACACAGCCCACCCCAGCACCCACAAGAACAACCCGACCTACCTTCTAACAGTGGACCCTCACGACTGTTCAGAGACGGAGTGCTTTGTTAAGCTGGAGGCTCCCAAAGCTTTTCATACTGGCTTCTCCATCGTCCCAACTTCAGGTTAGATAGCACGTGACATTTAAGTTTGATGCCTCAATTTGGTCAAAATATTATGTCTCAAGCGTATGAAAATCTGTTCCTTTGTGAAGTGAAACTTTCATCCTCACATCATAATTCCAAATCATTCAGATCAAAAGTTCAGCAAAACGAACTCCGGGAAATTCAGAAACGGAATGTCCGTGAAAATCTTCAAACGTCTACCAGCGGGGACATACCACATAATACCATCTACATTTGAGCCTGGACAGTGCGGGAAGTTCTTCTTAACAGTCGGCTCTACTAACCGTATCAAAATAGCAAGGAAGAGTTGATGATGCCGGTTTAGCTTGGATTAGTGTGAAGTTTCTAGTGGGTTTTCTAGAGCACGTGCGCTGCAAAACTGCAGTTCAGAATTGAGAAGAATTTGATATTGTTATTGTTAATTTTAATATTGATAATTGGTTACTCTTTGTACTTTTTGTCAGTGAATAGTCACTGACGTTCGTGCTAATGTAAACAGAAAATGAAGTCTCTTTGAGATTTAAAACAGCTCTTTGAAGATACTATAGCCGCGAGGGACTACGGTATAATATTAATAGTATAATACCATTTAAAGTAACATTTACCATTTATAGTGCCATTTACATTGTTCAAGTTCTTTAGTAGTTAAGTTTTATTAAGTATTATCAGAATGAATGCAAACTATGACATTTTAATACAGGTCTATTTAATGTTTGCAATTTCGTAGTGTTTTTAAATTCTGTGTTATATAAATTAGGATAAGGTACAGAGGATTGGTCGTATTTTACCAGTATCTTCTTGTTGGTTGTGTGGATAAACCGATTTCAATTTGACATTTGAATTGAAGAAACAGTATAACTGTGTTGTTATTTATATCTACACTTTATAGACTAAACTTTATTCCTACTCTTCCGGCCAATTTTATTAAGAACAAAAATCACTATCGTGTGTCAATTATAGTTGACTGACTAATTGGTTGCAGGACAGAAATTCGGTCAAAACTGTAAAATTTCGGCTTCGAAAACTGAAAATGGGACAGGGTATTGGACAGTATGATTTTCCAATTTTTTTCGAGATTTTGACTTGCAGTACCCCAATTTGGTTTCATACCATCATCAATTAACTGACTAATTGGTTTCTGGGCAAAAATTTCATCCAATCTGTCAAATGTGTGTTCAGACATTTTCATATCTGAAAATGGGACAGACTTTTGAAAATACAACTTTTCGTTTTGTTAAGCTTTCTGCTGTGAGCTTCCTCCGACCGCAATCAAACTTCCAGCACCTCAATCGTTTCATTTGTCATCTATAGTTTACTGACTAATTGGTTGCAGGTCAGAAATTTGGTCAAAACTGTAAAATTTCGGCCTTGAAAATTTCAGCTTCAAAAACTGAAAATGGGACAGAGTATGGGACAGTATGATTTTCCAATTTTTTTCGAGATTTTGACTTGCAGTACCCCAATTTGGTTTCATACCCTCATTAGTTATCTGACTAATTGGTTTCTGGGCAAAAATTTCATCCAATCTGTCAAATGTGTGTTCAGACATTTTCATATCTGAAAATGGGACAGAGTTTTGAAAATACAACTTTTCGTTTTGTTAAGCTTTCTGCTGTGAGCTTCCTCCGACCGCAATCAAACTTCCAGCACCTCAATCGTTTCATTTGTCATCTATAGTTGACTGACTAAATGGTTGCAGGTCAGAAATTTGGTAAAAACTGTAAAATTTCGGCCTTGGAAATTTCAGCTTCAAAAACTGAAAATGGGACAGAGTATTGGACAGTATGATTTTCCAATTTTTTTCGAGATTTTGACTTCCAGTACCCCAATTTGGTTATATACCATCATCAATTATCTGACTAATTGGTTTCTGGGCAAAAATTTCATCCAATCTGTAAGCCGTGATTATTTGATAGATTTTAGGTAGTTTTGTGTAACATCGATGCTAGTGAGTTATAATTATGCAGTGGAAGTGGAACATCAAGTTCTGGTCGGGGGAAGTGCTAATTGCATCACCTCAGAGGAGAGAGGGGCGAACTTTCGTCTCTTAGAGGATTTTTGAGGTTAAATCAAGTTTAATGACGGTTCAGACAGCACCTGGTAGAGTGATAATTATATCACTCCAGGTTGTTAACATCCCGCAACAATGGTGATCTTTGTTGGAGATGTTGAATTCGCACCTTGAAGGGGAGTTGCTTAGATCACGTGGGTTTTAGGTAGGATTAGATTAATGTCTGGACAAAGTCGGCCGAACCAAATTTAGCCGCACTGTTCTACGCATTGCAGTCAGCAACCAGACCACCATGATGTTCACATACAGAATCTCGCTCCTCTTGCTTCCCTTCCTGACATCTGTCCTTTCTCACAAGCCACACGTTGCTCTGAAGTTTGGAGATGACCTCCTTAGCTACATAATGATAAACCCCGACATGTCACCTCTGGAGGAGGCAGTGTCGGTCTGTAGTTGGGTCAAACAACTGAGCCCTACTTCACGCCATGGATTCTGGATGCACTACAGGACTCAGGATAGTGGTCATGAGATTGATCTCTCTGATAACCTCGGCTGGGCTTTTCTACAACAAATCAATACTCCGCACAGCCAGACACCAGCACATTCTCAGTGGTATCATGTATGCCTTGCTTGGTCCTTTAGCAGTGGTACAGCAACGCTTTACTACAACGGTGAGCAGATTGGGTCTAGCAGCACCAGTAAAAAGTTCTCTGTCTCTACTGGCTCCATTTGTATTGGACAACGTCATAGTACCTTCAAGATGGAGGCTACCTTTTTCAGTGGTTACTCGTTCGGTGGAGAATTAACCAAGCTGAACATCCTGAAACGGAAAGTCTCCGACCAAGAGGTAGCAAAAATGTATAAGTCAGGAGCATGTTCCAACTACGAAGACACGCTAGAAAACCACATCCACCTTTCTTGGGAGACGCTGCTGTCAGATGACACTGAAAAACATGGGAATATTGTAAAGTTGAGCTTAACTTGTCCTGACCACACATACGAGCCAACCACTGGGATACCCACCACTGTGGGACCTACAGAAGAGTCTGAGGGGGGTTGCAACAATCGCTGGGCTTTCCTACGCTTGTCCGACATTTACAATAAGGTGGAGATAAATTAAAGAAAGCGATGATTAAGTAAATTCGATAAACAACCTGCTTAGGTCAATTTGATCTTGTATGAATGAAATTAAGACAACCGATTATGTTTGTGATGACGATTGCTAAAGTAAATTTTAAATCAACTTATCATGTCCATATTAGATTACTAGGTAGTAAAATAATATTGTCACATCATTTCAGACAATCGAGAAGGAAATGCTTCAAGACTTTAGAGAGAGATGGGAGCTTCTTGCCGAGTTTGATGGCCATCAAATAGACGACACCCTAATAGCACATTTGACAAAACATCACTGTAGCAGCGAGATGTCAAGAGGAGACAACGAAACTGAGGAATCTGGTGATTGCAATAACCGTTGGGCCATCCTCCGCTTTCCTGACTTTTTCGAGAACGTAAGAACTTGTAGACGTAGACTGAGGTTTGAAAATATACTTTGACGGTTGTAACTTGTACTTGTAAATGCGTCAGGTCCCTATCAAGGGGTTTTAATTTTATACACGACGTTTTTAAATCTAAATATGTTTCGTTTTTCAGATTTCTTACCTACATTATATAAGACTTTGTTGCAAACTAGGAGCTAGTCAAAATGAACACAGCTGTAAATTTAAAATAATCAATTCAAGGAAGTAACATCAGAAATGATCGAGGACTTGAGAGGACGCTGGGAGTTACTAGCTGAGTTTACAGGGCATACAACTGATAATGCTCTAATAGCTCACCTGAAAAAACATCACTGCAAAACTGTGGAATAACTGACAGGTATAACGCTGTATAACTTCTTGGGTAAATTTAAAATTACGTGAATCTTGCCTTTTAGTTTTATAGAATGTCTAACATTTTACCCATTTTAGTTTCTTTCAATTTGCGAGAAACCGCTAATCTAACGGACAGTAAACGTATTTGATAACTTGTTATTTTCAATTAAAAGCAATAGACTAAAAATGAGATTTAACGCCCGTGTCTCTCATTGCAGATCTACAAAACCAAAAAGTCACGTGACACCTTAACCGATCTCTGCTGTGTGTGATACTGATATGATGGATTAACAATTAAAACACGGAAAAAACATTACTTAACTTAACCTTAGATAAAACATTGTAAAAATACCATCAACAGTTTGTGATTTGCATGTGAACTCGAAACCATGATTAAAATTCGGTTAGACCAATTTTGTTCAATAACTGAATCATATCTAAAACATCCTATTAAAGTTAAAATTTTAACAGCTGTTTTCAAGTTCACATAGCCATGTCACATGTGTCTACGCGTACTGCGTGACTGGTTAAGAACTGGTATTGTTTGAGTAAGTGATTATTTAACAATAAATCGGTAACATGTTCTCTTTTAATTATCATATTATTTACAATAGAATACAATGTAACTTCCAGCACCTCAATCGTGTCATTTGTCATCTATAGTTGATTGACTAATTGGTTGCGGGTCTGGAATTCGGTCAAAACTGTAAAATTTCGGCCGCCTGGAAATTTCAGCTTCAAAAACTGAAAATGGGACAGAGTATGGGATTGGGACAGTATGATTTTCCAATTTTTTTCGATATTTTGACTTCCAGTACCCCAATTTGGTTTCATACCATCATCAATTAACTGACTAATTGGTTTCTGGGCAAACATTTCATCTAATCTGTCAAATGTGTGTTCAGACATTTTCATATCTAAAAATGGGACAGAGTTTCGAAAATACAAATTTTCGTTTTGTTAATGTTAAGCTTTCTGCTGTGAGCTTCCTCCGACCAAAATCAAACTTCCAGCACCTCAATCTTGTCATTTGTCATCTATACTTATAGTTGACTGACTAATTGGTTGCAGGTCAGAAATTGTGAGTGAGCCTTCTCTAGCTAGTTCGTCAGCTCTTTCGTTTCCTGGAATTCCTGCATGTCCCGGGACCCACCCAACAGCGACTGAGTGGGTTTGTCCTAGATTGTTTAGGTAGTTAATAGTATCAAGTACTCATCTAGATGTGACCGTGTGATGTGTGAGTGTGACTGCTAGAATTGCTGCCTGTGAATCTGAAAAGAATGTTATACTCCCAGGTTCTGTAATAGTATAGTGCTAGTTGCCCAGTGTGCTGATTAGTTAAGAGCAAACAGTTCACATTGGTATACAGTTGCCTGAGTGCCTAGGTGGAAACTTTGTCTCTGGACCTCGATTGAATTTCTTATTACACAGTAACCTGCGCCAGAGAACATTTCTATTTTTGAGCCATCTGTGATAGTTTCTGGTCCAAAACTCTGGTAGTTTCGATAATGTCCGTGATTTTACATTTCATCGCTGGTATGGTTGAGATAGCTTTGTCCAACTTGTATGCATAGGATTTACAGTTCTGTTAAACTGGCAGTTAGAAATTAGAATTCCAATTTCCGTTGATTTTAAGTTTCCTAGCTGTAAGGATGGCCATTTCCTTGAGTTGTAAGTCAATTGACTCAATGACTCCTGCCAAGTGTTCTAGTGGTGTGCTTTTGAGTCCTCTTGATATCATGATACTAGTGTGTCTCTGAATTGCATGCATCTTTGTCTTTATGTACCGGGCTTCGTCTATTCCATGCTGCTATACAAATGCAGCGGAACCTAGAGAGGGAAGGATAATTTGACTATATATCCATCTCGTCCCTGTAGGGGTAATACCCCACATTTTACCAACTGCTCTGTTAGTGTTACACGCCTGATATGAAGATGTTGTACCGCGTTGTCACATTGCAGCTGAATATATATGCTTCCCCTGCATGACAGCTCGTTGCCAATGGTTACTCCTAGAGCAAAAAGTCATTAGTTAGACTTGAGTAAATGTTCCGTGAAAACTGTGAGAGATAAACTTTTGAAACTTTTTTCGGCTGTGTCGAATGCTTTTATGGCCTTTTGACCGATATAAAGAAATACAAAATTGACCAAGGAATAAATAATTAAGGCCCCACAAAATTGATCTCCAGGTGGTTTCAAAATCACAAAATAAATAAATATCGTTGTCTCTAAGTGACACGACATAGAATTAGACGGGTTCCTGCTACTGTTGCTAATTTGGTTAAAATATCCAGCGAAATCTGAAATTCCGGTAATTTGGGTTTATTGTCACTCTAATTACGAAATGACTGTTTGGCTTCCCCCAATGGTAAAAACCCTAACTTTTTCCCACAATCATGGCGAATGATGATGACATCTCTTATATTTATAACATCGTAAAATTTGTAAAATTCCCATGTTACCGGGCAGGAAATATTACTAACGAAGATAATTTCCATGGAAACTAGTTAGCACATCGTGAGATGGACCTTATTCATTATCACGTAGGCCTAAATTCCACAGCGAGCTGCACAATCGCAACAGTACTCTAGATTTTTTGCTCTTAAGCTTTCTCTCAGCCGAACCAAATTTCGCCGCCCTGTTCTACGCATTGCAGTAAGCAACCAGCAACCAGACCACCATGATATTCGCATATAGAATCTCGCTCCTCTTGCTTCCCTTCCTGACATCTGTCCTCTCTCACAAACCACACGTTGCTCTGAAGTTTGGAGATGACCTCCTTAGCTACATAATGATAAACCCCGACATGTCACCTCTGGAAGAGGCAGTGTCGGTCTGTAGTTGGGTCAAACAACTGAGTCCTACTTCACACCATGGAGTCTGGATGGACTACAATACTCAGGATTCTAGTACTGAGATTTTTCTCTCTGATAATCTCTACTGGGCTTTTCTACAAGGAAGCAATACTCCGCACAGCCAGACACCAGTACATTCTCAGTGGTATCATGTATGCCTAGCCTGGTCCTTTAGCAGTGGTACAGCAACGCTGTACTACAACGGTAAGCTGATAGGGTCTCGCAGCACCGGTAGAAAGTTGTCTGTCTCTACTGGCTCCATTGTTATTGGACAATATCATTCAACCTACAAAATGGAGGCTACCTTTTATAGCAGTGCTCGCTCGTTCGGTGGAGAATTAACCAAGCTGAACATCCTGAAACGGAAAGTCTCCGACCAAGAGGTAGCAAAAATGTATAAATCAGGAGTATGTTCCAACTACGAAGACACGCTAGAAAACGACATCCACCTCTCTTGGGAGACGCTGCTGTCAGATGACACTGAAAAACACGGGAATATTGTAAAGCTGAGCTTAACTTGTCCTGCCCACACACACGAGCCTACCACTGGGATACCCACCACTGTGGGACCTACAGAAGAGTCTGAGGGGGGTTGCAAAAATCGCTGGGCTTTCCTACGCTTATCCGACATTTACAATAAGGTGGAGATAAATTAAAGAAAAGCGATGATTAAGTAAATTCGATAAACAACCTGCTTAGGTCAATTTGATCTTGTATGAATGAAATTAAGACAACCAATCATGTTTGTGATGACGATTGCTAAAGTAAATTTTAAATCAACTTATCATGTCCATACTAGATTACTAGGTAGTAAAATAATATTGTCACATCATTTCAGACAATCGAGAAGGAAATGCTTCAAGACTTGATAGAGAGATGGGAGCTTCTTGCCGAGTTTGATGGCCATCAAATAGACGACACCCTAATAGCACATTTGACAAAACATCACTGTAGCAGCGAAATACTAAGAGGAGACAACGAAACTGAGGAATCTGGTGATTGCAATAACCGTTGGGCCATCCTCCGCTTTCCTGACTTTTTCGAGAACGTAAGAACTTGTAAACGTAGACTGAGGTTTGAAAATATACTTTGACAGTTGTAAATGCGTCAGGTTCCTATCAAGATTCAAGGGGTTATATACACGACGTTTTTAAATCTAAATATGTTTCGATTTTCAGACATCTTATCTACATTATATAAAACTTTGTTGAAAACTAGGAGCTAGTCAAGATGAACACAGTTTTAAATTTAAAATAATCATTATCAATTTAAGGAAGTAACATCAGAAATGATCGAGGACTTGAGAGGACGCTGGGAGTTACTAGCTGAGTTTACAGGGCATACAACTGATAATGCTCTTATAGCTCACCTGAAAAAACATCACTGCAAAACTGTGGAATAATTGACAGGTACGCTGTATAACTATAACTTCTTAGGTTAATTTGCAATTCCGTGAATCTTGCCGTTTAGTTTTATAGAATGTCTAACATTTTACCCATTTAATTTTAAGTTTCTTTCAATTTGTGAGAAACCGCTAATCTAACGGACAGTAAACCTATTTGATAACTTGTTACTTTTCAATTAAAATCAATAGACTAAAAATGAGATTTAACGCCCGTGTCTCTCATTGCAGATCTACAAAACCAAAAAGTCACGTGACACCTTAACTGATCTCTGCTGAGTGCTGTGTGTGATATGATGGATTAACAATTGAAACACGGAAAAAACATTTCTTAACTTAACCTTAGATAAAACATTGTAAAAATACCATCAACAGTTTGTGATTTGCATGTGAACTCGGAACCACGATTAAAATTCGATTAGACCAATTTTTTTCAATAACTGATCATATATGAATATCCAAAACATCCTATTAAAGTTAAAATTTTAACAGCTGTTTTCAAGTTCACATAGCCATGTCACATGTGTCTACGCGTACTGCGTGACTGGTTAACTTTAAGAACTGGTATCGTTTGAGTAAGTGATTATTTAACAATCAATCGGTAACAATTAGTCGAGTTTTTCTCTTTAAATTATCATATCATTTACAATAGAATACAATATAACTTACTTCAATCGTGTCAATTGTCATCTATAGTTGATTGACTAATTGGTTGCGGGTGTGAAATTCGGTCAAAACTGTAAAATTTCGGCCGCCTGGAAATTTCAGCTTCAAAAACTGAAAATGGGACAGAGTATGGCCTTGTATTGGGACAGTATGATTTTCCAATTTTTTTTTTTCGATATTTTGACTCAACCCAATTTGGTTTCATACCATCATCAATTAACTGACTAATTGGTTTCTGGGCAAAAATTTCATCCAATCTGTCAAATGTGTGTTCAGACATTTTCATATCTGAAAATGGGACAGAGTTTTGAAAATCAAAAATACAATTTTTCGTTTTGTTAAGCTTTCTGCTGTGAGCTTCCTCCGAACGAAATCAAACTTTCGCGCAGCAGCTCAATCGTGTCATTTGTTATTTTCAGCATTTAGATTTCAACGTTCCGTCATCCGTGGCTGGTGGTTGACGGATGTTACTCGTCTAAATTTCTTCGAAGTAGCGCGCGCCCGATGTAGTGCCTCCCGATGGCCCGAGCTACGATGCCTTGACCTTTCGACGAGTGTTTGCCCACAGGGGATCAAAAAAATATGAATCACCTTGAAACATAACTTTGACACGTGAACTTATCAAACGACTGTAATGATTCCATTTAATTTTATTAGTATATTAGCTAGTTTATAGTAGTTACACACGATCAAAGAATTGAATAGCACAATTGGGCTCATTTGTTATGCGACCGTGTTTTCCCTCGGTGGGCCAGAAGGTTTTTGTTTGTGTAGTAGTGAGGGGGCGGAAAAACACGCTTTAATATAAATGAATGTTAAATATTGTAATTGACATTAGTGTGCCACAAGTTGATGTGGTTAAAACAAAATTTATGTCTAAACTTTTATCGTAGAAGGGCACTGATTTACCCACATCACTAAGGCATATGGAGGATAATTAGCACAAAAGGATAAAAGCCTTTAAAACATGGACCTCCTGCTATTCAACGTACGTAATCCTAGCTCCAAAATAAATAATTGCTCTAATTAGAAATCATCTGGCTGATACTTTTCAAAATTGTGGTCCCCTTGGGGCTTCGGTTAAAGCCCTTACAGGCAACAGGTCCTTATACAGCTCCCCAATTAATCTTTGTCATGCCCAGCCAGTACTTGTCATAAACCTGTACCAACTATTTTAAAATAAGTATACTTTTGCTAGAATTTTACATTTTAAGCCATAGAGCAATATTCTCAATTTTAAATTTAAAAAACATTTTACCCTAACTATGATGTGGTGGCATTTTCATACTTAACTAAAATTAAACTTTGGCAAAGTCAATAGATTATTAGTCACAACATTAATTATAGTTTAAGGGAATCCATTTTGCAATTGTGTTTCCATTGATTAGAATTTATGATATGTATTGAGTGAATAATTGGTAAATAAATTAACTTTGTTTTATTACTTTTGTTTTATTAATTCAGATGTTGTTCAATGAGTTCGCCACAAATGTTCAAATTATGTAGGTGGGTTAAAGGGACAACAATTGCTAGTAGTGATTTCTTTATTTGGCCGTTGACTACATTGGAAACATTTTGCAGGAGTTTTCCAGACGGCTTTTATCGTGAGTGGTGTTATTTACTTTGTTATGCACAAGCCATGCCAAACATTTTTGTTTTTGTGTTAGCCGTGCTACCAGGTGCAGAGTTTTATATAACACTAAACACTTATTCACTATACAAATTTGCTAATACAATATCAAGCAGTGTCCGATCTTGCTGCAACGTCAGACACACAGTTCAGCCGCCAGTAACGTTAAGTGAACACCGAAACACGAGGTTAGTGTTCATTTTGTAAAATCACTTTATGGATGGATAATTCAGTAATTGTGGAAGAAAATTACAGTCATGCCACCTATAGCGTCTATGTCATGGGTCTGATTAACGGCCAAGAATAAAAAACGTTGTGCGAGCATAAGAAAACACCGAGCTATATGTTGAGGTAGGGAGTAGCTGCGCGCGCGCTTTTAACATTATTACGTTATAGCGCCGTACGGAAACGCAATATTTATAGTATTAACGTATTTGTTTTCATATATTTCCACGTTTTATCAATATCTTAGCATGGTCCAAAACTTGTTTAAAGTTGTCATTATTGCCCACTCATTATAGAACCTGCTTTGGGAATCTAGAAGAGATCGGTTTAGCCTTTGATTTGATTGAGTTTACAGATGTGTTCACAAAGGAGGTTTATTCTGTGGATTGGAGGTCCTTGATTGATTCCAATGCCAGAGTTTTATAATAAGTTATGGCTTGGCTTTGGTGGTATTAGACGGTCATCCCTCAGTTCCAGACATGTTTAAGTAAAGAGTAGAGAGGATATTGGGTACCTTATAATTTTCACTATTTTAAAAAGTTCAGTTATAGTTACGAAGTTTGTAAAAGATTCATGAACAGTAAGGAGTTTTATGGACGTTAATAATGGTTGGTTGATTCCTTGGAATGGATATTCAGCTCCTAGTTTTTGACAACCATAAGGGTCTAACAAAGTTTATTATGATTTTCCGATTTGTCTCCCACCTAACTTTGGAGGCACGTAAAACACGATACTGCTGGTGCCACGCTTTCAATGGATCGACACAACCAGTTGGATACAACCGCGATTTAGGTTAGGATCCGGCTTTTCAGACGATCGGCATCTATGATTGAATGTGTAATAGTGCTTTTTATTCGGCAAATTCTTACACCCAGCAACCATAAAGCATGTCGGAGAACTTTTGATTGATGAAGTGATTTCATAACAATCGAGAATGACTAGATGAAGCTAGACTTTCAGTTCTTGACAGAAGTCGCAATCTTCAACTGCAGGACATTCAAGTTGGGGACAGCTCCCGCCACAATCTGCGGACAGCCTGAACAACATTCTAATCTTGTTTAACCATCAGCTGCAGCGTAAGATAATAATAACCTAGATCGATAAGCTGAGGATGAAAATGAATAATGGGGGATGTACAGTGACCACTCTTATGAATAAAGCTCCGAAAAAGCTCATTAAAACATCAGTTTGCAACTGTTTTAAGTAGTTGGGAATGCTTGTTCATGCAGAAAGCAGGAATACAATTGTGGATCAACCTGCCTTAAATGTCAGGACAATTGCACAATGTGCTGCTGAGGAATTATAAGTAAGGACTCTTATCTAGTATTTAATATGGTCATATCTAAATTACTGCTTCGATTTCACGATAATTTGAGTGAAAGTTGTTTATTATCATGTTACGTAATTTTAAAATATTTTGATCGAAAATAATTTTATAATTTTGAATATTTGTTTTATAATTGATTAAACTAATTATATTAATTATCTAATCAAATGGTTGTCAGATAAAAGTTGTTTATCTTTCCTGTTTGAACACATCTTTTAATCTAGAACTTTCTATGACATCAGAAGTCGTTTTTATTGGCCTATCCGTCGCGGGTGTTAGAGTTCCGAGGCGGAGCCGACGGACCTCCGAGCGGATTCGGCACGGTGCTCCGCTAAAATGTATGTACACTGGACTCGAAGTACATTTTGGCGGAATCCAGCGGAGCACACGAGCGAATCCGAGCGGACTCCGTGCGGACTTTTAATTCCGCCCGCGGACTCCGAGCGGCCTCCGCGGCGGCTCGGCAGAGTGCCGTCCGGCAGAGGCTAAGCCACTGGCGGACTTCCGGACGCTGCGGACTCGGCGGAGTGCTTGCGGGACTACGCCCGGAACCTCTCCGCAAAGAATTGAAATCCGCCGGAGTCCGCCCCAGCTCGGCGGACTCCGCTCGGAGTCCGCCCGGACTCCAACAGAGTCATGACCTTCTAGACCTCCGACTTCGACCCTCGGACTAAATTTTTCACGTGAATTCAACATAGCATTTTGCAATATTGTGGTCAGATAAAGGTCGCGAAGTGTATAACTTAACCATTACCATAACAAATGTCAATTGTGTACAACTCTAGTCCTAACTTTGAACCCTACTAATGTCATAAACGTTGACCCTAACCCTCCACCAAACCGTACCGCAGCGAATTATCATGGCATTGATATTCTCCAGGCTTTACAGTTTCTTTCCCCTGTCGCAAGGAATTATTTTATGATTATCTATAATGGCTTCAGGAAAAATCATTCGACAAGCCATTGCACTTAAACTTCTTCTGTCGATCTAACATTGAAAAATAACTAAGGATAAAAAATCATTGTTCTAGGGGCATATTTCATTGATTTAAGTTAAAGCTTTTGATACAATCTGTAATATAAACTGCTTAAAAAACTGAATGATTATGGATTCGTGGGACTGCAAATAAATGAATAGCCAGTTACCTCATATAATAGGCAGCAATATGTTTTCAGTACTTGGTGACAGAATCCGAAATAAACTGTCTGTAATATTTGGTGTGCCCAGGGTCTGTATTCAGGTCCCGTGCTTTTATTATCTACATCAATGAAAATATATAGAGTATAAGAACCTATGTAAGTTTATTACTTTTGCCGATGCAAATAACATATTTGTTGTCTGATAAAATGTATAAAACACTTTACTGCAAGCTTTACAAAATCTTAAAACTTGTCTCATCAATATATGATAGAGTTTCTTCTGCTGCATATCAACACAAAGAAATGTTGTTATATCCACTTTAAGCCGAACTGTAGAAATGAACAGATTCAATCACTAATGACATTAGAATAACTGACAATGGAATAATATAATAATTAAAAAGGTTAGAGGAAACTAAGTTTCTTGAGTCATTATGGACAAAAAACTGAACAGGGATGCTCATTGGGAGCGTTAAGTCGTAACATTGAAATTGTGATGGTAGACTCTGTGGAATCAGTCGCTGTGTACCTAAAACACTTAATTAAGGACCTGTACCACACCCTTTTTGAATCTCATCTATGTTATGGAATAT